CCCCCCCCCCCCCCCCCCCCCCCCCCTCTCTCTCTCTCTGCCTCAATACACCGGAAAGGGATGGCAGGGCACATGAGCAGCAGTGACCGCCAGAAGAGCCGTCCAACAAGCTCGGTGGCGTTCATGTGCAGCGTCTATCTCGGAAGCGACGAGGGTGACCTCCTGAACAAAGCGAGGGGCGCCGAGATGGCGCTTTTCATCACTGGAGACGACCCTGCGTTGGGCAACTGGGCCATTCTCGAGGAAAACTGCCTCGGAGATCTCAACAGATCAGCCGATGGGTCAGAACACGCCGACAGATGGGCTCCGACGTACCGTATTATGGTGTGTGTGCTGTTGACAGATCTGGTCGTTCGGGCAGCGTGCATCACCGGTTTGCGGCGAACGGGCAGATACAGTACAAGTATGTCTTGCGGGCCCGCTTCCCAGTGCCCACTAGAAAAGGCACCACTGGCGATGACGAGACGTCGGCTGAAGTCGAGGAACGGTTCATATGCGAGTCCTTCGAAGGTAGAAGGATGTGATCTCTTGTGTAGGTGCATGTAATGAATGTGTAATGTGATTTCAGGCAACCGTGTCCTCACCGTCCCTCTTCATGACTGCATTGTCTTCGACTCATGGGGTGAGTGAGCGAAGTGGACCATTGTCAGCAATGTGCATGTGGCTACCTTGTGTCTGTGATCAGGGTTGAATGTGTCCCCTCATCTCATGTATGCATTCGCTCCCGGGAGCCCTTTGGGTGCCGCCTCACGACCTTTGCCTCAGAGCCCTTTGCGCCGGGCCGTGTCGCTCTTTGGCACGTCCCCAGAGAGCAAAACCAAGAGAAATCACCGGTACTCAATCGTCTCCTCTCGGCGGCTGACTCCTCAGGACGACCGGACTACAGATTCGTCGTCTCGGAGTTAGTAAGAACGAGAAGATCCTCCACACATTATGCCATAAGAGCCCTGTCTCTCTCATTCGCTCAGAGTCTCAGTGCAGCGAGCCAACCAGTGAGTTCGTCAACCACTTTATCTTGCTCGGTGTGCCAGATGAGCCAGAGGTGGGGCACGAGGAGACGTCTCAGCAAGCAGGTGTCTCCGACCTGCCCCCAAGAGTACCGAAGTTCGCCCCGGTGACGTCTCCTGCTGTAGCCCACCCTCTCCTGGAGGTCGTTGTAGAGCAGGAAGATGAGGAGAGGGATGAAGGGGACGACGAGATCTTCCTCGAAGTCGATGACACAATGCTGAGCCCTCAATCGGATGTCATTGTCGCCAATCCGTAAGACGGGAAAGAGATCACAGATCGTATTTGATAAGTGTGAATAGAGATCGAGCCGTGCCTTCTTGTGAGTGCAGGGTGGACGCTGTCAGAAAGGGCTCGGTGTTGCTTCAGGACGTGACGTACACTCCTGGTGCCGCCCCAGCTCAATCGTCGACTCTGCTACTGCCCATCAGCAGCATTCGAAGCAGGCGCGCCGGATACGAGGACGGGGAACACGTCTCACAACCATCAGGCCACAGCGGCCGGCGCCGGTCCTCACGACTCAGTATTGTCAGAAAGGCGTCCGGTGCAGACCAGCATGAGTGAGTGAGGGAGACACGACTCCGATAGGAGAATGGACGTTCATTTCGCGTGCAGGCCCGCCGAGGCGCCACGGCCCGCGTTGGCCCTTCCTCTCCTGCTCATTGGTCGGTCGAGCCATCTAGACGAGTCGGGCATGCCCAACAAGGACCCAGCACTGTCGCTTGGGTTGCCAGCTCGTGCCTCCGATGCTGCATATGGGGAGATGGGCGGGAGGTCTCCCTACGCGACACTCGTCGACCTGCATTCAAGCGACGAGGAAGAGCAACATGACGTCCATTTTGCAAGGAAAAGGGTGCGGGAGAGTCTCTTCTTTGACCATCAAGTGAAGAGACGCATGTCACAAACAGCACAAGGTGAGCTAATGGTCTTGTTGATTCGCTGTAGACGTGTATACCATCAAAGCATGTGGGCTTGGCGGACTATGAAATGGGAGCAAAGCCGATCGGCGAAGGTGTGTGTATGTCGAGACATCATGCGCAGGTGTCTCGGCTCCATTGTTGTGGTGGCAGGTGCATTTGGGAAGGTGTGGCCGGTGCGGCACCTGCTGTCAGACCAAGTGTACGCCTGTAAGGTCATCCGCAAGAGCCTCCTTGCAGAGAGCATGGCGGCGCTGCGTCTGGAGGTCATGGTTATGAAGCGGCTCGACCACCCAAACATCATCAAGCTGGTCGAGACCACTGAGGACGAATTCAACCTTTATATGATCATGGAAATCTGCTCAGGTAGCAGCAGACAAAATCAGCAAACAAGGCATGCATTTCTTGAATGAGGTTCGGGCTGAGATATAATGTCAGGTGGGGAGCTATTTGACCGCATAGCGATCACGGAGCACTTCAACGAGGAGACTGTGGCTCTGTACTTCAGGCAGGTGAGGAGGCAGTGCATGCTTGATCGATGCACTTATGGACATCGATGCGTGGACACGTCAGATTCTCTCTGCCGTCCGCTACTCCCACGGCAGAGGCGTCATCCACCGCGGTATGCAGCGCATGCCATAGAATCGCCATATCTTTCCTTCCTGCCTTGCAGATATCAAACCTGAGAATTTCCTGTTCGACGTTGAGGGGCCCAAGGGACGCATCAAGATGATCGACTTCGGCCTCGCCAAGACATACCTTGGTGGGCGACGATCATGTCTCATGCCATTATCAATAGTGTGTATCAAACAGCTCCTGACGACTTTGACGTGTGGAGCATCGAAGGGACGCCTGACTACATGGCGCCAGAGACCATCACGGGACAGCCACTTAACAAGGTCGGTGCCGGAGCAAGGTGGGCGAGGATGGCGTGGTGATTGGCGTCTGTGTGCGGTGCATTCAGGCGTGCGACCTGTGGGCTGTTGGTGTGGTGCTGTACACAAGCCTCTGCGGCTACACACCATTCGGGTCAGCAAGACGGGCAGGTGACATAACCAAGCAGCGAGACTCTTCCTTGATGTCGATCAGGCGTCAGACGGCACAAGCCACCATCCGCCAGATCACTGACGGTGAGAATCGCAGAGCAGCAGCACTCAGAAGTCGCCAGCAGCATGCTGGTGCGGGTGATCAGGCGATCTTGTCTTCCACGAGCATGACTGGAAACATCGCTCACCCGAAGTGATCGGTGAGCGGCGTGAACTCCAATCGACGTGAACCAAATGCTGCTTTTGCCCTCCTCCTCTCAGATTTGATCAAGGGCCTGCTTGACCGCAATCCCGAGACCCGCCTGACAGCCTTGCAGGCCTACAGCCACCCATGGTTCAGACTGGTGAGCTCGAGCCATCCATCCTTCGTTCCATTCCTGCGACCGGCGGCTTCCGTGTGGATATAGTTCGCGGCCACCTGTGACAGCCCCGCCAATTCCCTCAGCCGCGTGCGTGCACTAACGGTGAGCGATCAGTTGGAAGAGACGGCATCGTCGTGAGCGCTGTCGTCATTTGCTTCGCATCTTGTGTCGTGTGATTCTCAGGGCCTGACGCAGGAGGCGATTCAGCGGTGTGCGAGTTTCCGCAAGCAGAAGAAGTTCCGTCGGATGATCCTCACTGCACTGGCCAGGCGAGTCAAGGCTGCCGACATTGAAGGCCTCAGGTGGGCGCGTCTCAACCGCGCATCGGATCCCTTCATCGATTCATTCCTGGCCGGTTTGCTGTTTGTTGTCAGGTTCGTATTCGAGCAGCTGGACACCGAGGGCACCGGTGAGACACGCTTCATTTAGATGACAGGGGAAATTCTCTTTTTCTCTTGGTCGTGCTTGTGTGTATACTACCTACAGGCACCATATCGCTGTCGCAGGTGACAGAGGTGCTCACCGAGCGTGATTTCCCTGACGACATGATCAAGCTGGCCGAGACTGTGGACTCGGACAACGAGTGAGTAATAATGCACCCACCAATGGGCATGAATGACACATGGCTCATCCATCGCCTTTGCATGAAACACGGTGATCTCTCCCCACGGTTGTTCTGTTTGTCAGGGGGAAGATATCCTACACGCACTTTCTGGCCTGCTGCCTGGACCGCAAGGTCAGCCAATAGAGGGAGACATGGTCACCGCATACACACACCATCACCCCTGTCTGTCTGTCGGTCGGTCGGTCGGTCTGTCGGTCTGTCGGTCTGTCGGTCTGTCGGTCTGTCGGTCTGTCGGTCTGTCGGTCTGTCGGTCTGTCGGTCGGTCTGTCGGTCTGTCGGTCTGTCGGTCGGTCTGCAGGTGTACCTGAATCGCGACACGTGCCGAGAGGTGTTCGACTCATTTGATCTGAACAGAGGCGAGCACCTGCACGCGGCCACTCTCCAACGTAGGGCATCTCAGTGGCTTATTCGGTTGTTTGCAGATGGGAAGATATCCGAAGAGAACTTGCTGGTTGCCCTGGAGCGAGGCATGAAGAGGTGGGTAGTAAGCAGAATACGTCTCCTAATATCTGGGCGGGCAGGCGCGGCCTCTGTGTCTTTTGCTGACTGACAGGCGTAGTTTCAGGGTCACGGGCAAGCTGCAGGACCGCGAGGAACGGCGGCAGAAAGTCAGAGAGATTATCCAACAGGTACACGGGCACGTCAACATGACAGAGACATGGCGACACACACGTCTCTGGCGTGTCTAGGCATTGTCTGGTGTGTGTGGTATCTTAGGCCGACTCGAAGGGCCAGGGATTCATCGACTTTGAGGTGACCACGACCACAGGCGTCTTCCGGTCCCATCTCCTCATCTGTCTGTCTGTCTGTCTGTTGTGTCTGCAGGACTTCATGGCCCTCCTAGAGGAAGACGACAGCACCGACGTGACCCCACACCGACCCCTCCTCGACCTCAACGAAGCCTCCCGGCGACACGCATCCCTCCTCTACTCAGGCACACCCTCATTCAGAGGCCTCGCCACACCCCGCTACGACGACACATCATCCGCAGAAATGTCGCCAGAGATCTCCCCACAGGCACATCTGAGCCCTGTCTCGCCCGCACAGACCATCAGGACCAGAGGGCTGGACGAGCAGCGGCTGTCGGCCAGCTTCACTCTGCTCGGCGCTGCCCTTGACAGCATTGTGTCGAGTCCGTCTGGTTCGTTCCTAGTGCCCGTTGGGTCGCCGAAAGGTCAGCCGGAGGGCACGAAGGTGGATCGTTCTTCCGACGACAGCAGGCGGCAATCGCAGCTGAGCACCAACGCGTCGGAGGGACACTCGCCCGGCGTGCTGCATATGCATGGGGTGTAGGTTTCGCCCAGCAACCAGACCAGCAAGTGGTGCTCGTCTCTCTCTCTTTTTCGCCCACTGTTGTTTTCAGTTTTGTGACAGACATTGTCTCGCTGTGTTTGTCGGTCGTGGCCTCTGTGGCTTGGCTGTGTAAAGGATGATAGGATTCCTTCATTCATTCAGTCGATTGATTGCACATGAATGAAATGATCCACATATGATCGATCCGTTCGTTGTATGGGCCGGGCGGTCCTGCCAAGAACGTACGTCTGTATTATGTAAGTCAGCTGAGGTCAGATCAGCGTGTGCATGTGTGTGTGTGCGTGTGTGTGCCCACATACCCTCCCTGAAGAGTCAGTGTGTCGGCGCGTATGTGGGCCAGCCAGCCAGCCATGACGTGAGGATTAAACATCCACACACCCCGCCCCCCGCCCCTAAAACACGCCATGCAAACAATCTACACAGACACACACAGACATGCATCGCATCGATATCGGAATATCGACTGTATACGACCACTTACCGGTCAGTCATTCATTCAGTCAGTCGTGTGCACAAGAGGAAGGGGAAGAGGGAGATGGAGCAACCCAGACAGACCAGAGCAACACCACCCCACCCCCTTGACAAACAACGCGCACACAGACATAATCCGTCACGGAGGTGCGCAGTCAGCGTAGTTAACATAACACTCAATCCACTGAATCGTCTCCTACTTTCCCGGAGTCCTCCATGCCCATGCACCGCGCTATCAACAAACCCATCGCACCGCACCCCGACGCCATAGCGTACTCAACGCATTCACCCTCACTCAGGCATACCCAAAAAAAGTCACATGCACGGCCCCCGTCTGAACAAATCATGGACTCTTGTGTCTCTGCGGAAGAGCAAGACACATGGCCCCCTCCCCCCTCCATGCCCTCCCATCGTGTGTGCAGTGCCCTGACAGCAAAAGCAAAATGGCAGCTGTGCTGTGTCGGCAGGGAGGGAGGGAGGGAGGGAGGGAGGAAGGGGCCTCTGATGGCATAGGTGGAAAAACTCTGCACACGCACGAAGGCCTGCAGTGCAGAGACGGGTGCGTGGGGAAGTAAGGAGGTGTGTAGGCGTGTGTGGGTGTGGGTGAGAGTGTGTGTAGGTGGTAAGTATCAACACCAAGGAAGGAACAAGACACAAGACAAGAAGTCAGGTATGTAGGATGTATGGGCTGAAAAACTCTCGCCGAATGAGTACATATGGGTGCTGTCCATCTAGATTGACGCTCCCTCCCCTCCCCTCCCCCCCTCTCCTCTGGTGTCCAAACAGACAAAAAAATCGGCCCATCCTCGCAATTAGCCACAAACCACACACACACACACACAGAGAGAGAGAGAGAGAGAGAGGAATTCCCGAAAACAGACCGCCATATCGACAACCGCGGCTGTCAGAGCGGCCCCTTAGGCACTCACTCACGGACTCACGCACACAAGACCTTCGCCGAGAGAGGAGGGAAAAAGTCGATCGCCGCCGCCGGAACGCATGTATGGAGGCAGGCCGCACAGCAAGCGCCCTGTCTGAGCCGCTCGCTTACCTGTGGCCATCTCGGTAGGTCGGACGCATAGCAGTTGGTGATGGAGGGCAGTGTTCCTCAAGACACATCTTGTTCGCACCTTGCTGTGTTCGCCCCGCTTGCCGCCACCTGCTCTGCACAGGGAGAGTGAGCCCTGTGCAGGGACGGTAGCGGGATCGAGAATGAAGCAGCCAAGGATCGAACAGTAGAGAGACAGCTAGGCAACACAGAACAAGGGGACGGGGGGGAGGGGAGGGGGGCAGTAGAAAGGGCTGGCTGCAGGCTGCACACACGCAACGCACACAAAACACAAACAAAAGGGACGGACGGGCCAGCCGGGATATCATGCACCCATCACCCACCCACCATGCGCGCCATGCACAACATACGTGCATGTGATGATGGGCGATGACTGACTGACTGACTGACTCAATCAACGAATGACCCAAAAAAACTCTTGCCCTCTCTTGCCTTCTCTTCCTACCCACTCATCCAATCCAACCACGGCCGGCCTCGTTGCGATACACACACACACACACACACGGGCACTCACAAGCTCTCACCACACGCACTCAGATGAATCAAGCCCCACCAATCACCTCCTGCCGCCATACCCCGGCTGTCTGCTCCACACGCTCCCCCCTGTATTAGGAGTTGCCCGTGTGTGTGAAGGTGGACCGGCAGCAGCAGCAGCAGCAGCTGCTGCAGCCGAGGGCGGTGGTGGCTGCGTGTGCGTGTTGAGGAGCTCGTCGGGGAACCACCCGGCGTCCAGCGCATTCGACTGGTGGGACGACCACAGCAGCCGACCAAACGTCCAGCCAGATGGGTCACGCTGCAGCACCTCCACCAAATCACCTTTCGATTGCACACACACACACGCACATGCCCGTGAGACAACCGTTCTCTCTGTCTCTGCGTGTCTGTATCGCCTGCTTACCCATCCGAAGAGTGAGCTCACCATCGGACACGGCGTCATAATCGAGACCAACAACACGGTTGCCGCCCACACCGCCCGCAGTCCCAGGCGGGCTGATGACCAGCGGCCCCCCAGCCATCGCACCACCGCCGGCCGCATACCCATTCGCCACGCCGCCATACCTGCCGCTCGCCATCGGCCCTCTGGTTGGGGGCGGCGGCGGCATCCTCGCAATATTGAGGTTCATGTCTTGCGGATACGACGGCATGAAGGGGGGCGGTGGGGGCTGCTGGCTGGGTGCGTGTGTGGATGGGGGGAACATTGATGCCGCCGCTGCTGCCGCGGCGGCTGGTGGGGGTGGCGGGAATGGCGAGTGGGTGGAGTGGGTGGTGGGGGCGGTTGGGGGGCCGCTCGAGGGTAGCTGCGATGTGAGGTTGCGGATGAGCTGCTCTTGCGACTGGTGGATGGAGTGCATCTGGCTGAGAGCGTCGCGCAGGAACTTGACCTCATCTGACAAGAGGTCGTTCTTCTTCTGCAGACCAACCAACCACACACACAGACACACACAGACATTACACTAATCACATGGGATGAGGGCACTGCCCATGCCCATGCCATGCAGATGAGATGTGTGTGTGGACCGGGCCCTCTGTCTCTGTTTGGTTGTGTGCGTAGTTTGCCTGCAAACCTGTAGCTTGCATATTCTTGACTCCATGGCTGTGATCTTGCTCTTGACGGCGTCCTTCATCACCAGCTGGTAGTGCTTGGTGTCGCGACCTGGCTGCTTCTGAACACACACACACACACACACAGAGGTGTGTGGCAGGTCGGTGGTGCACCAGGCGGGCCATAACACGAGTGACTGACCACGTATAAGTAGTCATGCGGCACGTGCTGCAGCGACCACGAGCACTCGTAATACCTGGCCATCGACACACACACACATGCTCTCTCGTTGGTGTGATGGTTGGTGTGGCGCTGGCTGGCTGGCTGGATGGCTTCTTTGAGTGACAACACACAATACCTACCCTTCAGGTGTGGGTCTGTCTCTGATGGTCCTCATGCCCACAAACTCGGGCATCCCACCTGCCGTGTGGAACACCTGCTGAAACCTGCCGCCGCCGCCCCCGTTGCCACCACCACCTGGTGGGTCCATCCCATCGGGGCAACCAAACAAAACAAACCACACACACACACGCCAATCAAGAACACAGGAACGGTGTCCGTCTGTCTGTCTGTCTGTCTCTGTCTGTCTCTTACCTCCGCCGCGGCCATTGCGTCCCCTGCCGCTCCTCACTCTCCTGCCCTCTCCCGGCCTCTCCCCGTCGCCCGCAGCATTGTGCCCTCCGCTCGCCGGACCGCTCTCACTCAGACCCTCGTCGCCCTCGTTGTGATTGCTGTTGGTGGACGACTCGCCCTCGTTGTTGCTGCTGCTGTTGTTGCCGGCCAAGTCGTCATCCCTCTCGACGGAGGGCGGTGGCCTGTCGTGTGTGTGGGTGGTGGTGTGTGTGTGTTGGTGCTCGTCGGTGTGTGTGGGCTGTGTGTAGGATGGCGGCGGGGAGTGGAGGGACGACGAGGCGGCGTCGTTGCTGGACTCTGGCTGGGTATCGGAGGGCGGCATCATGGGAGGGTTGTCCGCACTCGTGCTGGTGGCCGACTGCAGCTGAGTGCTGTCCGTGTCTGCACACAGGGAGGGCACAGCAGGTAGGCGTGTGCGCGCCTCCGTCCTTCCCCCCTCCCCACACCCACATGATCTGCCTCTGTGTCACCTGAGCTCGGTTTTTCCTCTTGCTTGTTGTCCGATAGAGGCGGGGAGGTGCCCTCACTGCAGCACACACACAGGCACACAAGCAGGGCGGGCAGGGCCGGCCAGAAGGGCTGCGTCGGCGGCCGAAGGACTTGCGGTGGGTGTGCTTATCTTTCTCCCCTCCCGTCTCAACTTACACAGGCGGCACCATGCCAACCAACACGCTGCTCCTTTCCTGGATCGGTGACAGACGAGATCTTCCACTCCCTTCCTCCGCGGCGCTAAGCTCGCAGACTTTGCGAGCTTCTGAAAAAATCGCGCTGCTGTTTTTCTCTCCTGAAGTAGACAGTCAAAGGCAGCTGAGCAACCTCTCTGCAAGGCGGTGGTCTTTCTTATTTGGTGCATTGGTCATCGACCAGAGGAATCGGAACACAGTGACCGTCGACGGCCGAGCCGCAATCATCACCATGCCCGCCGGGCCGGGAGCCATCCCTCCGCCTACACGGACGCCACGCACCCACGACGAGCATGAAGAGTCGGCCTCCAGCTCGCCGCCCCGCTCTCTGCCGCATGAGGGCTCCATCGGCTACTCCAAGTGGGGCAGAGTGCGGCGGGAGTTCACGCAGCAGAACCTGCGGGCGTGGCGGCCGATTATCACTCCGAACGTGGTGATAGCGAGCTTTATCGGTGTGGCGGCGGTGTTTCTCGGGTTGGGAGGGCTGATGTACGACGCCTCCAGCGACATATACGAGTGCATGAAGAGATATGACAACGTGCCTGGGGATCAGGCCACCAACAGGAACGCGCCCGTGACGGTGATCAGGCTGCAGCTGACGGAGGACGACTGTGTGGGGAAGAGGAAGGGGCGGGGGATCGAGGGGCCGGTGTTCGTCTACTACCGGGTGGAGAAGTTCTACCAGACACACAGGCTGCTGTTTGAGTCGAGGAATGAGGAGCAGCTCAGGGGCAAGATCGTCACGTCGAGGACAGATCTGGAGGGATGCGAGCCGTGGATCGAGGTCAGCGAGCGATGGATGCGTGGTGGATGGAACAAGCAGCACAGCAGCTCTCTCTCTGTGCGTGTGTGTGTGTGCGTCTGCAGGTGACGGATCCCAACTCTACCGATCCCACCGATCCCACCTCTAGCTACTACGGCAAGCTGCTGCTGCCGTGCGGCATGTTTGCCAAGTCGGTCTTCAACGACACATTTGAGTTCTCCGACGCCGCAGGACCGCTGCGCGTCGACACCAGAGCTGAAACAATCTCATGGTCCGACCGATCCGACCCAATCTGATCACACCCACCGACCCACACACACACGTGGCTGGCTGTCTGTGTGTGTGTGTGTGTCTGTCTGTCTTCAGGAATACCGAGAGAAAGCACAAGTATCACAACCCGCCCAACAGCGGCAGGGTGGTGGAGTGGCTCAAGACGTATGTCCCAACCAGCCAGGGGGAATTCAACCCATACCGGACAGACACTGGCACCGAGTGAGGGAGTGTGTGAGTCGATGGATGGATGGATGTGGACCTCTGTGCGCCTGTCGGGGTGTGTGTGTGTGTGTATTGGTTGGTTTTTCAGGCTGATATTCCCCGGCGGCATAGAGGATGGCCACTTCATGAACTGGATGAGACTCGCGGGGCTACCAAACTTCAGGCAAGCAACCAACCAACCACACACACTCGTCCACATGTCTGTCTGTCTCTCTGTCTCTCACTCTTGTCTGTCTGTCTGTCTGTCTCTCTGTCTCTCTGTCTCTCTGTGTGTGCGCAGGAAACTCTGGGGCAAGATCAACCAAGACGTCGCGCTGCCCGTCACGGTCACCATTCAAAGCAGTAACCCAACACACACACACACACACACGCACGCACAGAGAGAGAGAGAGAGAGACGGTTCGTTCGTATGGTGGATTGGATGTGTGTTTGTGTTTAGGGTGGCCGGTGAAGTCGTTTGGCGGCGAGAAGTGGATCATTTTGTCGACGGTTACGTGGCTGGGGGGGCGGAACTTCTTTCTGGCCTACTCCTACTTCATTGTGGGCGGCTGCTGCTTCATATTCGGCGTCTTCTTCCTCATTAGACACTGGACAGACTACAGGTCGGTGGGTGGCTGGCTTGGGTGCGGCGGCTGGGCTGCCTCGTTTGATTGACACACCCATTGTGTGTGTGTGTGTGTCCGTCTCTCTCTCTCCGTCTGTCTGTCTGTCTGTCTGTTGTGTCTTAGGGAGTTGGGCGATGTGGACTTTGTCGCTTTGTCGCAGCCCGGAAATAAGTGAGCTGGTCGATGGGTCGGTCGTATTTGGCCCTCCCCTTCCGTCCCCCTCTGTCGCCCTCCCTCTCTGTTGTCGTGAAGCAAGCGCTTTCATGGCGCTGTCCACGGCGGCCGCGTCGATGTTTTTTCCGTCCGTGTGCGCCGTTTGTGGCCTCTTTGTCTGTTTCCCTCTCTCTGAGAAAGAGGTTGTGTGCGTGTGTGTGTGTGTGAGGGAGCGGTGATGTGCTGAGTGAGCCGCGGGAACGTGTTTGTGCGTGTGTGTCGATGAGTGATCCATGTGTCGAGTAGCCACTTACCCAGACAGACAGACAGCGACTTTCCGTGTTGTTCAGTGGTTGAGCGATTGTACCAGGTCAAGGTTGTGTGTGTGTATGTTGATCATTGATTGATTCCCTCCCCCTTGATTGATCTGCGGACGCCTCCATCCACTCGCTCTCAAATGCGTCAGTCAGTCAAGACACACCACACCGCTTATCATCACAGGAAGGAGTCTATCGTGTCTGTCCACGCGAGGCAACCTCAACACAACCAAACACTCGCCCGTGCTGTGGTGTGGTTGTGGCTGTGGTTGATCGATCGGATCTGTCAATCAAACGGGCTTTGCCTGCCTGCCTGCCTCGGTGGCCAAAAATCATATGGTGCACCTCCTCTACGTCTGCGTGTGCATGGGTCTGCCTTTCTACGTCAGAATCTGCTTGCGTGGGGAGAGAGAGAGAGAGAGAGAGACTGAGAGGGGCAAAAACAGAGGGCCGCAGAAGGGCCACCACAGCCAGGCTGGAGAGGGTAGTGTACAGATGATGATGAGGGAGGGAGACAGACAGACAGGGAGGGAGGCATATGGAGGGATGCGTGTGGGTGCCCTCTCCTACTGAGAGAGACGTGCCGTCCTTCGTTAACCAACCAAACCAACCAACCGCCATCAGTCTTCCGATCGTTCGTTTCTTCGTTAAAAATGGTGAGGCGGTCATCCGATGACGGACTCACTCTCACTCACTCACTCACCACTTCGCCCACCCCCTCTCCCTCTCCCTCTGATCACACACATGTGATGAGCACCGATGCGCTCACACACAGAGACGGACAGCCAGACAGACAGTCAGTGAGGTGCACACACAGCTCTTGGCAGCTGCCCTACGCCCAGACTGAATGAACTGAGACGCTCCCCTCCCCTCCCCGACCCTCTCTCCCGTCCGTCGAGCCAATCAGGCAGGCAGACAAACAGACAAACAGACAGACAGACCAAGCATTAGGGATGGATGGATGGATGGAAAGGTAAGGAGATACATACTGATCTGCGTGTGTCTGTATGGTGTCGCCATCTCACTACGCATGTGATGTGACAGAAGAAATGAAAAATGGACGACCAACCAACCAACCAACCAACACAGAAACCCAACCCACTTAGTCAGTCAGTCAGTCAGTCGCTCGCCCTCCCGCCCGCCACTCGCTCAGACAAAGAATCGCATAAACTCACTCCATGAGTAGATAGAACAATCCCCACACTCATCCCATCCATCCAAACAAACAGGCACCCAGACAGACACACACACACACACACATGTCCATCTCTCTCCCTCCCTCCCCCCTCTCACTCACAGTGTCGCATTGGTGGCCCAGTCGACGTCACGAATGGTGGGAAACTTCCCAAACGGCGTAGCGTGGTGGTGGTGGTGGTGGCTACCGCGGTAGGCTTTGCCTCGCGGCACCGTGTCCTCGACAATCACCCACTGCTGATCGGCATTGCTCTCCTCAGTGTTGTTAGCCTTGCCCTCGCCCCCGACCCTTCTCCCACTGCTCTTGCGCGCAGAGCTCCGCTGCGGCCGCTTCCTTCGGTCGTTGGCCGCCATCGACCCGTATTGCGGCACCTCGGGGGCCTTGAGGGGCGATGGACTCATGTCGTCGTCCCGGCTGCTGATGCTTGTGCAGGAGGAGGGGGACGACAGCACCGACGAGTGGGTGAGCGCGGCGAAGGGGCGTCTGCTGCTGCCGTGGTGGTGGTGGTGAAACGCGTTGACCTCGGGGGTTGGGAGGATCAGCGGCGATGTCTCGGAGCCGACGCCACTGCTGGTATGGTCACGAGTCGACTCGTCGTCGTCCACATCGCTTGGCGAGAAGTCGTAGGCCTCCACATCGGTCACCACCCGCACCCCTGCCAGCGTGGGCAGCAGGTAAGCCGCCATGATGACCACCTGTGTGAGCCACAGCCCCTCCCAGGTCGCCACACCCAGCTGCTGCATCACCAGCCCCCCTCCGCCCCTCGCCGCCCAAGCACCGAGAGTGCTCACAGCCGCCACGGTCGAGAAGCCGGTCGCTTCCAGCCCCTCTGGACACAGCCGGCAGCCGAGCAGCAGCAGCCGCAGGAAGAGCGCCTCACACGCGATGGTTGAGAGGGCGGTATCGATGAGGAGCAGCCACTGGAGCGTCCCTGACGCCGAGTGGGCTGGGAGGGTGAGGGGGGAGGCGGGGTGCAGGAGGAGGGCGAGGGCTGCCTTGGGCAGGATGGACGCCACCGTCGACAGACCTCCTAGAGTGCGGAAGGGCAGCTTGTACAGAGTAACCTGAACACACACACACACACGCGCGCCGACGCACGCAGAGAGAAAGAGACAGAGAGGGAAAGAGATGACTCTATGTTGCTTCCGGTCTCCTCCTTGACGACCATCACACCTACGCACCTGAAACAGCGCCACTCCGGCGAGTCTGGCGAGTTGCGCGAGGAAGGGCAGGTATGCGTCGAGTACGGTCGGCCAGTTGAACCGATCGCCCAGCAGATCCGTCATGTGCGGGCGCACATCGGGGACCGCCACCATAAGGAAGAGGTAGGTCAGGGACCCCACCACCGCCACGTGTCGGTAGTAGTCGCTCAGGGAGCGCCACACCTCCCGCAGAGGCTTGCTCCGGGGAGCTGACAGCACAGCACACAGAGAGGGAAACACACAACCCACAAATGACGTTAGAAGGGAAATCGGACCTGCCTCTCTCTCTCTCCTTACGGCGGCATGTGTGTGTGTGTCACCTGCTGGCACGGGCAGGCCATCCTTGTCCAAGGAGAGGGTGAGGTTCGACACAGCTCTCGTCGGCACCCCATCGCACGTCAAGAGCGTCCTCTCGTTAAATAGCGACGCCGCGAAGCTGATGCACAGAGGGACCAGCGACACGAACCCGAGAACCGAGCTCTCGGCAGCAGCACTCAGGGGAAGGCTAGACATCAAAATCGCCAAGGACAGGCCCACAGCACGGCCCGCCATGGACACCGAGAAGGTCCAGGCCGCCCCACCGGCCGTCTGCTGCCTCGCACGCTGCAGCGTGATGGCCTCCGACGCTGTGGTGAGCGTCGCCAGGCCGGCTGAGGCATACAAGGCCGACGAGAGGACGGGCAGCATGGTGTCGCCAAAGGCAGTGGGGTGGGTGATGACGAACAGCAGTGACGACAGCGACAGGAACGCCGAGAGACCTGTCATGACGAGGGCAGGCCGCCGGTACTCCCCCATGTAGCCGAAGGCGTCAAGAGCCATTCCCATGAAGGGTTTGAGCAGCCAGACGGCCAGCGGGAGGGCGCTCAGAAGGCTGGCGGCTCGGTCGGTCTGGGCGTAGTGTCTCATGAGTGCCGACCGCAGGATGGCGCACACGACGAGCTGTATGCCTTCGGTGAGGGCCACGACGGCGATGGGGAGGAGGTATGCCGCCCACTGGAGGGGTTGGGAGAGGGACGACACATCCTTGAACGCCCCCTCGCCCTTGCTGATGTTGAAGTGCACCGGGGCGGCACCGCTCCGGGTGGCCCTGCTTCTCCTTGACCCCATCTCGGCCTCACTCCTTCACTGCATTCGACAGAGCGGCGGAACCCACTCGACACACAGGCAGGGAGCGGATCTCCTTCGGCAGGACGAGCGAGACAGCTGCGTTTTCAGATACGAGTAGCTCTGGCGTTTGCGGGCACACACAGGGGAGAAGATGTCACGCTGGAGATCTGCGAGCTCGCGATCACACTGGCTGGCGAGCTCGCATAGACAGTGCCCCCTCCTGAAGAAGGGAATTTGAGCTTGGTGGGTGCATTCTTTGAGGAGGAGTGCGTATCTATAATCTGCAAGATCCATTTTCGTCCCCTTCGACATCAGTGGACCTAGCAGGGCCGAAGACAGCAGTGGCCCTGCCTGTGTCCATGGCGGCATTAACACCGTCCCGCAGCTCAGTTATTTCTTCCTCTTATCCGTCAATGGAAATGGAGCGGAGGAGCGAAGATCCGGCCTCATCGCCTCCGGCATCTGACGAAGCCTCATCCGCACCGCAACCAAGACCACCGACTCAGAGGCGTCCTACACGCATGAGCAGAGGGCACCTGCCCTCTCTCCTCTCTCCCCTCCCCCTCACAACCCTCCTCTGCAGCTTCTTCTCAACACGCGGATCACCACGCGGCTTCCTCTCATCGCCAGCGAGGCGGTCCTTATCTGATGGATTCATCAACGGCGACCTGCCCCTGCCAGCCAGGCGGCCGTCGCTTTCACAACACACCCGTGGGCAGCTGCGTGTGCTGCGGGCACCTCTGGCCCCCGCTTCTGTTGGACCGAGTGTGGACGAGGAGATGGGCAGGGGGGATGCGGTTCGGTTGGGTCTGACGACGTTCAGGCGTCGGGCGATGTTGGACACGGAGGATAGTGTGTCGGTGAACATCGAGAGGCCCGCTGCCAATGTCAGGAGGATTAGTGGGTGAGCTGTGCGCGCAGACAGACAGACAGACAAGCTGGCATCGGCATCCGTCGCTTCGTCTGTCCGTGTGCATGCTTCACTTCAGGTCTGTGATAGTGGACACGAGCATGGAGGACTGCTGGTCCATCCTGACGGACTACGACAACTTGGCGGCGCACGTGCCCAACCTTGTGGTGAGCCAGCGGGTGCCGCTGCCGCGGTCACTTGCCTCGAGCGGCCTCAATGGCGACGACATGTGGCAGATGCGCCTCTACCAGGAGGGCGCGCAGAAGATCATCGGCTTCGACTTCAGGGCGGCCGTCACCATGGACATGAGAGAAGTGCTCGGTGAGGGAGGAAAACTGACTGACTGACAGGCCGTCAATCTGAATGCGTGTGTGTGTGTGTGTGTTGATTCAGGTGATCCTGAGAACCGCATGGCGCCTCGTCTAATAGAGTTCAAGCTGGCCGACTCGCAGTTTTTCTCTCAGTTCGACGGCGAGTGGAAGATCCAGGCGCACACGCGCAGGGTCCGCCGCCACCCTGCCACGGGCGACGACGAGATCAGCTACACCACGAAGCTCTTCTACGTCGTCACGGTGCGGCCCAAGGGCCCGGTGCCCGTCATGGCCCTCGAGTGGAGAATCAAGGAAGACGTACCCACAAACCTCAAGGTACTCAGTCACACACACACACACACACGCATTCGTGTCAGCCCACTTGTCTGTGTGGGGGGGTGGGTGTGGGTGTGCAGGCCGTGAAGCAGGCAGCCGAGAAGATCGCCAGGAAGGTGCCGGCATCTTCCCCGCTGCTGCTGCGAGCGGACGAGGGCGAGACGCAGACGTGGCGGCGAGAGGGCGAGGGTGAGGGTGAGGATGACGACGACATGGATGAGGTCGACCAGGGAGTGCAGGAGGACGAGACGCTCGGCGTCTACATGAGGAACGCGCCTGACGAGACTTTGGACTACTATGTCAGGGGGGCTCGGTAGGGGGGTAGGTGTAGACGGGGGGATGGCTGCCAGGGGATGGGGATTCGAGGGAGTCAGGGAGGGAGGGAGGGAGGGAGGTGGGTGGGGCATCTACGAGTTTGATCGCCTGTTGGCATACTCAGGGGGGGCTGTGCGTCCGTCCGTCCGTCCGTCCGTGTGTCCGTCTGTCTGCCGTCCTTAATGCAAGTTTTTGGTGGGTAACGGTTGGTTGTCTGGGATTGTTTACTAGATCGCTCGCTCTTGCGACGGCGCTTTCTTTCTTGCCCGCCCGAACTGCCTGCGTATGTATGTCCATGTGGACATACACACATACATAGTGCTATCTATCTACCTGGCTGATCAGTATTTTTCTCCATCCATCCATCCACTGCTTGCCTTCATGCAGGTCACACACCATATATGGATGGATGGATGGATGGCGGCCACACAGCCACATACATACCTGCATACAACGCCTGGAGGCAGAGACGGCATATCTGGGGGGGAATTTGTTCGAGTGAGACAGAGACAGACAGCAAGAAACACACCGCTCGGCGAGACGTGATGAATGAGGGAGGGAGAGAGGAAGGGAGGGAGAGAGGGGCTGTGGTAGGGGACAGTCAGTGGTATGGATTACCATATGTGTGTGCCCGGGTGTCTCTCTCTCTCTGTGTGTGTGTGTAGTCAGTCAGTCAGTGGGGTTGTGCACTAGGCTCTGGGGCTGCACAAATGGATGGATGGATGCATGGATGCGCGAAGCGACCGCACTAGCTGTGTAGTGTGTGTGAACAATGTAACGATTTACAGATCGACACCCCAAACGCTGCTTCCTTTGCGAGTGGAGAAGTGACTTGACAGCGTCGACCAGCGTGTGTGGTGTCATCAGATGACGTGTGTCTGCATCATAAGCCAGCACATCGATGCATCCATGAGCTCCCTGACTGACACGCTCTGACACGCTCTATGCACACCTACTTGCAGCGACACAAAACACACACACGACATTTATTTGTCACACCCATGCACTTTGTTACACATCTCCCTCCCACCGACGACAGTCAGTCCAGCCACACACAAGACGAGACGACCGATAGACACCGCACCCACCTATCCACCCACCGACCATAGCCACCCTCTCGCCCCCACCCGCATCAACAGGGACAAATCCCGGCTCTCCACATCTCGGTGGATCGATCGCATCCGACTGGGAGTCTAGTCGTCGTAGCGGTGCCGCTTCGCCCCCTCCGCACTTGAAGACGGCTGGGCGGTGTGACAGTCGGCGGCGGTCTGCGGGCCCTCTGACAGCAGCCGCTTGAGGGGGTTTGGCTTGAAGGTGGGGGTGGCGGTGTTGTATAAGTTGAAGGGCTGCGACTGAGACAGACAGACAAGACGCCCAAACCCACGCAGAAGAACGAGGCATGGCATGGCATGGCTGCCAGTAGTGGAGCGTTACATGGGTGATGGCTGGAATGGCGTACCGTACCCTACCTGTCCATCGAGGACCGAGGTTGAGGTCCGCCACTTCCTCTCCAACACGCCCCTCATCAGCCGGTCAATCGTGCCCTGCATCCATCCATCCACACACACATCTGTGTGCGTGAGCCACTCACTCTTGTGTGCCGGGCAGACAAACCTCAGCGATGAGGTAGTGGACGTTGATCGACTGGTGGTTGGAGCCGATGCGGTGCGCTCTGTCCTCAGCCTGCTGCATAATACCGGGGATCTATGTAACACACACAGTTGGACACACCCACACCCACACCCACACCCACCGACGCATGGCTGTGTACCGTACCCAGTACAGCTCTGCAAACACCACTGTGCCCGCAGCGGTCAGATTGAGGCCCTGGCCACATGCCGTGATGGACAGCAAAGCCACCTGAACACACACACAACACACGCAGACAGACGTGCATTTGTGTGTGGCTCAAGCACCCACCCCCCCAGTGACCCACTGACTGACCCGGCATTTCTCCTCTTCCTGGAACTTCTTGACGAGCCCTTCACGGCTGCTCATGGCCGTCCCGCCGTCTACGCGGATGTACCCCCCCTGCACACACACACACACACACACACGAGTAAGGAGAGGAGC